ATTACAGTATCGTTAAAAGTGGGAAAAACCATATAATTGCAGAAAATTTTATTCTGCTCAGGGCACTTTGGGAACAAAACATATTCGCAAAATTAACAGCAATCTCTTCTCAAACAAGGAGTTAGAAGAATATGTCTGATGAATTTTGAATAGATAGAGATTGAGAATAACAAACAGTTTTTTCTGGGCGAGGAGGTAAATGTCGATAAGAACAGCAGTGTATACAACCTTTCGAGATACACTTTTATGTGTGTGTGTGTGTGTGTATTATGGCAAAGCCTCGAGGGCTATCTGCCTAAGAGGAGGGATGCCTTCGTGGAGGACTTTCTATGGGAAACTGGCTCGTATACACGTTACACATGGGGAAAACCACACACTTTTAAAGAGACATTTCTTGAGATACACTTTTAGTTAAGTAATTTTTGTCTTAAATTTAGTAGCTAATAAATTATCTATTAATCCACTTTAAAATATTTATAAATTTAATATTTAACATAGCGTTAGTTTAAGAATGCTTAATATTTGAGCAGAGGCTTAAGACCTCGTCAATAAATCCATCGATTAACTCAGTTTTTAATGTCTTTTTTAGAAAGAGCTTATTTCAAATAAATAATATAATAACCAGTTTTTGTTCCATTAAATTTTTCTGACTAAAATAATACAGTAGTAAGATATACTGCGGGAATACTCTAAGGGGCTGAAGGAGGGGTCATAGTTCTACAAGGGAAGGCCAGGGGGTATCTATATTACAAAGACCCCTGAAGGGGTATGCGAAAAAGAAAAGATTGGAAACCGCTGGCATAAATAATAAAGACTGCCACTGTTGGGAAAAAATAATCATCACCGCTTATCAACTAACTTATGACTTTTTTCCTATGTATTTAAAAAGAAAATTAACATAAATTTTCATTCATTTTCACAAAAAAGCATTTTAGGAATTTCATAGTCTACCAAATTATGCGGAATTAAAGATACTACTTTTTGCCGAAAAAGAACTCTTGTAAAAAACAATATTCTCCTAAATATATTTTAACGATTGCGCTTTCGATAATAAAATCTTACAAATAATTATTCATAGGTAAAACCGGTCAATAAACTAAGTATTAAAATTTATATTTGACAAATTTTATAAAATTATTTTATTAAATTTCAATTTTATGACAAAGCAGAGACTTCCAATAAACATGTTTCACTCTATTCGACTCTTTGCTGGCTATAAACTCTGTTTAATATATTATTAACATTGCTAATAGATTTTGCTACTATTCAAGCCCGAGTTCGAATCCTTATGACATTGTAAAATTTCATCATTTAAAAAAAAATAGGATTTCAAAAGAATCAAAAAACTTTCGATGGCAGAATAATAATTTTAAAAAATTCTGTTTAAAAAGACTGCATAACTAAGTAACTTTTCAATTATTAATACCAGACACTCACTTCCTGTCTAAGAAATAAAATAGATAAGGTTTAGGACTAGGACCATTCTGATCACATGATAGCTTTTAGTTAAAATGGATGAAATTAAAATTTTTATATTGGTTGTCGTCGGAAATAGGTCCAACTATTATGTTTCTTCTCATCTTATTATCTTTGGTCTTTTAAGGGATTATAAAAGTCTGTAATCTACAAAATTGCTAAACATAAATAGTTTAGACATTTTTATCCTAAAAGGTAAAGAAATCAATTTACGGGTCTATAAAAATAAATTTAATTAATTATAAAATATCGAATTTTAGCCTTGCATCAAACTGTAATTTGTAAAAAAAATCCCCTAAATTAATGCCTTTCTGATTTAAAAGATGCATTTAGAAGTCTTTGAAAGCTTAACATGCATAATTATCTACAGTACCTCTAACAATATCTGCATATGATTCCCTAGAATTTGATCGTATCAGCAGGACTAATTCAACCATGGTAAATAATTTTCAAATTGAAATTTTTTCTCCTGCTGGACCCGTATGAAAATTTAAATTTAGTATATTTTTAATAAGTTATCACGAACAAAAAACTGGCTTATTCATATGACGTTCCTCTTTTGTTATTTAAATCATTTCTTAAAATGAAGCCGTACATCTTCGACCGACTAATTAAAAGAGAAATAGCTTCGCAATCTTTTGTTGCATTTTGTGCGCGATGATCACCCGAATTAGTGTAAAAAGAAAGTAGAATCAAAGTAAACCTTGCTTAATGCGATGTCTTTCTCTGTCCACATACATTGGTTTAAAATGATTCCATTTAACGCTGTTTTGCTGAACGCTGATTCTATTCTGCTTAAAACTTTTTCCATTTTCCTTAACGCTTATATGGCTTTGCTATTAAGTTTTGTTTGTTGAGATTTGCTTGTTAAGTTTTGTTTGTTAAGATTTGCTTTTATTAAGCTTTGCCTAATGTTATTTTAAATGCATCCTTAAGATTAATTCGAATATCAGCGCAAATATATTATTTATCTTTTGACTAGCATTCGAAAGCCACATTGGTGCGATACTTAAGTTTTCCAGGAAAAGAAATATATTTTTAAACTATACAAAAAGGCCACATTTCAACGAATTTTGGCTTACGAGGTGCTGTAGTTTCCTAACGTAATAACGAATAGGCGGGAGGCACTTGTAGTAATTTTAATATGCACACTTTCTGTTATTAGGCTAAATCGGGTTCTCTCCAAAACGTGTTACTCCAATCTTCATAGAAGATAAATTAATATCCATACCGCAATATGATTTTTTTATCCGTTTGCTGTATTGCATGAACACATATTAGGCCGAAATATCAGGATCTTTTACTTTCATCTGTATGAAAGAGAGCTAAACAAAAAGAAAACTGCGAAAAAAACTGGAGAAATGAACCAGCAATTTTTTATTAAAAATAATGTCTTATTAAAAATAATTTCTCAGTTAGTATTTAAAATTGGTTATATGTATAATATTCATTATTATGCTGCAAATAGCCTTCGGTATCGTTACCAGATTCATGTAACTGTAGCAAGTCTTGGAACTTATTACCTGCCAATATGTAAGCATCCTTTTTTTTTTTTTTTTTTTTCAGCCTAATTTTAAGTTTTATACGGGCTTTGGTCTTTGAATTCAGCTTTTATTTGTTGTTTTAATAATGATATAAGTTTCAGCATCCTTTAAATAAGTAAAACTTCTTATTTTATCCTTTCGTTTAATCACTATTTTATGAAGGCTATCTAAAATAAAGAACGAAAAGTACATTAAAGAAAAAAAAAATCTGAAATATTTCAGATTTTAACGGTCGTACAGTAGGGTTTTTAAAGTTTTTTACTCTCTCGCTGAGCTCGTCTACCAGTATGTTGTTGCACTCGCTCTTGCTAATCCATTTTTGTCTTTTTAGCTTAATTATTAAGCATCATTTTATTCGCACTTACGCCATATACAGTTCAACAACAAAATTACAAAATTTTAAAAGCAGCAAAGCGGTATCTGTTTAGAATTCCCGATGCAGGTTTAAGTGCCCCTCCCAGTCTTTTCTCAATTCATCGTATCACTGTTCAGCTTCCTTACTAAAATGGTTTTACAAAACATTTTTTTTTTGTCCTTTTATTTTTAACCTTTTGTGTGTTTACTTTATTTATCATACGCTTGGCGCTTATTCTACGTAAAATTCGATTCAACACAGAAATCACAAAATATTTAAAAACAGCACATCTTTAAAATTTCCGATAAACAGTCTCGCAGGCTGACCTAAAAAGGTTTTATTCCGAAGATTGTGGCTACTGGTCGCTTTTAAATAGTTGAGTTTGTTAAAAATTCATTAATGTTTTACAAAATATGGAAAGTAAAATTCAAAATTCTGGCTTCTAGATGCCCATGTTCGGGTAAAAGACTACTTTACAGAAAATTGGATGGCTCTAGATACCGTTGTTTTATCACAGTGTGAGAAAAATGCATGTATTCATGCAGATTCTTCACTATTTAATTTCTTTAAATATAATACAGGGCGATAATATTTTGTGGCAACAATCTGAAAAGTTGTAGAGACATTAAATATTTTTGAAAGCAGGCAAGATGAAAAATAAGCAACGCCTTCGCAGGGAATCGAACCGCGGACCTCTGGAATACGCGCCCAGTGTGCAGACCATCACACCACGAAGGCATACCAAGAAGGCGGGAGAAATACCTTTTAAAGTGATACGCCGTTTTTAGTGATTCAACGCAAAATACATACTCGAAACTTCGAGACTAATATCCGATTTGGGACTAAGGTCTCTTTTCAGCTAAAAAGATACTTCTTGGAAAACAGACCACATTTATCTGTTTTTGTGAGGTTTTATTTAAAATAACCCGTTATTTTTGAGTTAATTATTTTCTTAATTACTTATGTGTTCTCGTCAGTCTTCTATAGAATGCAGTTTAGGTACGTTTGCTTTGGCAACATGTACTCCAGAATTTTCTAGCGGCTAATGAGTACCTTACAGTTGCAAAGGATGCTGAGTTGGAATAAGTTCATATTTTGGTGCGTAGGAATTTTACAGCTCGCCAGTAGTTCGTAAGGAGGTTGGATTGAATTGTTTTCATCAATTCGGTTCAAACTACCGATTTAAGTGTGATCTAATTTACATTATATTAAGTTTATATAATTATAATAAATACAACTATTAAAATTGTAGTCTGATTTTATTTATTTTTCTGCAAGAAACGGAGAAGCAGAATTCCTAATTTTTTAATTTTGTAGTTTTTACTCTTTCGGGGAATAAACTTTTAAGCTTTATTCTATTTCATGGTCGTTATTTGAATAACAGTATTAAGCAACAAAACGCGAGACATATAATTTCCTTGAACGTTTAGTGATTTGCCAGAAATTTAGCTTATTTAAACTTTCTAATATTTTTAGCAAATGTATTTCTCAAAATCGAGCATGCATATTTTTGCTCCTGGTCACAGTTTTACTTGGGCAGATAGTAGTTATTCTTTTCTCAGTTTTAAAGAATGTAAAGTTTAAAATACAGAGATTATATACGAACATGTTTTTTTGTCTTTCAGCATACAGCTGGGATCTAAGCCAGTTGTGGTATTGAACAGCGCAAACATCATACGTGAAGCTTTCTCAAAAAGTGAATTTCTGGGCAGACCACCGAATTCAGCATTCACGTTATTAGGCGGTCAAAGTAAGTTCCAACAATAATCTCATTTTCAACGATATCATAATTTTAATGCGCTGGATGATCATATTTTAAAAATTTATATTCAGCCTTTTGTGGATCTGTCACAGGAGTGTTCTGTACAGGGGGTATTTTCATTAAATGCTGGAATTGATGGAAAGTTTCTGACCGATGCAACGACATAACGCAAACGTCTATTTTATACAAAAAACAAGCTGATCATTGAGAAAATTAAGCACTATCCACCTTGATGATCTGTCAATATTCAGAAGTTTTTCCGTCGTGTCTTGTAGTCTTGTAGGACAGAGATGGCTTGGGAATATAAACCTTCACCAGCCCTTCATTCATGTTGCCTGAGTTGACGAAGTCCTGCTCTTCAATGACGCCCGCAGTTCAAGGATCCGAAAATTTAGCAGTCTGTTAATGCAGGATCTGGTCTACGCACTAGAAAGGCAAAACTTATTAACCTAACTTCTGAGAAGGGGTTCATTAATGAAGCACGCGCTTTCACCTCGAATCGAGCCCAGGTCGAACTACCAGTGTCCAGCGGCGTTACCGTTCGGCAGTTGCTTGGCACCGCATTAATCGGAAGCCACGTATCTCAAACCAAACGTTCATAATTTGGTGTGTATCACGATAAAAATAATGATAATAAATCTTCAGTATGGCAATCAGTAATTAGGAAAAAAACTTAGCCTTCGTGAGCCTTAGATAGGACAAAGCTAATTCGTATAAGTACGTATAGGTTCAGAACAAAAGAGAGAGATGTATTCGCTAAATTTGGTGATGCTGGGAGACATTCGCAATTGACGTATTTCCGAAAAGATTGTCTGACATGCAAAAATGTTCAATTTATATAGTTATAATTTCATTTCCTACCGCGTGTTTTTAAATGTGTGTAAGAAACTTGTGCGACATTATATTTAAATTCGTCTTAAAAGGAAAAGATACACAGTTCACAATGTCTGTAACTTTTTGAAAATCTTGCAATCTTGAAATTTTGAAAGTCTAAAAGCCTTCAATCACCTTTCTAATTTCTGCAATGTATTTGTCAATGTTATACTTATAGTTTTGATATTTTTGCAAGTGATTGGACTTATCTGGAAGATGATTCGAATTGCTTTGTTGAAGACTCTCTATTTAACATGATAAACTTTGCTTTGTGTATATTAATGACACAGATAATGTCAGTTATTTAATGAGCCATTAAAATTTTTCGGAGACAGGAAACGTGATAAATATGCAATGCTGTAGCCAGGATTCGAATTGCAAACCTCCTTATAGCTAGCCAGACATACTTCCTATTACATTAAGAAGATACACGGCACGTATGAAGTAAGAAAATACCTTTGTTTACACTTCGTTATACCTTACATTCTGTGTCAGTAAATTACATACATTCTTCTTCACTTTAAGAGTTGTAATAAGAGGAGGCACACTGGTGACAGTAGAAGCAAAATCCGGACTAATTGGGCTTTTAAAGAACAGCATAAATTATTCGGTATTACATTATTCAGAGACTCGCTTTTTGGGGTAAGTTAGTAAGGCACTAAATTAGTAATCATAATAAATTTGCAATCTTAAATAGGGAAAAAGCTTCTTTTATAAATTCCCCAGCAGAAAGTGATTCACTTTTTTTGCTAACATATGGCTTACTTTGAATGATGCAAAAGCCACCGCAGATGTTGCGAATTTTGTACTTGCATAGGTAATTTTAGTAGAATGATAAATAAAATTGTATTTTTCTGTGTAATGTAGTGAGAAACGAACTTTAAGAGAAAGCAATGCTGAAAAAGTAAGAATACAAGGGCAGATGCATTTAACATTGAGTAAATGGGTATCTCGGTCATTTGTATTGAAATTAAATAAATGTAGGTGACTACTATGTTAGTTGTAACAGTAATTCCAACCTCGTATTGCTTTCCATTAATTTAGAGAACGGGGACGTACTAGAAATATCTCGCGGCCGGCTGAAAACTATTTAAAGCCGAAGAAAGAGTTGCTTAGTTATTGTTGTTTAGTTCCGCGTTAACTGAGATATCCGAATTAGCTTTCTATTTGCATTGCGTTGTATTTAACGTTCTTAGTAGTTTGAAGTGTAACTACTGATTATACTGTGTGATACTGGGAACATTTGTACGAAATAATTCTGTGGAAAATTTTAGAGTTCTGAAATATTTCTTTTGATAAAAATAAATTTTATTGATCAATTAGACTTGTGCATTCAATCTATTACGAACCCGTACGCACGCAACAATATTCATATTTGTTACGTAAAGTTAAATATGCCTCTCCAGATTATTCTATTTTAAGTTCCTCCATGAAATTCTATCCTCCATGAAAATGACAAGTCTTCGATGTTTTTTTTTTTTTTTTTTTTTTTTTTTTTGTTTACTCATTTTAATGGTAGGTAAAAAGATGACAAAATGCAGAAGGAAATGAAAAAGGTGCTTACATTTTTGCACTGGAGCATCATTAAGAAAACTGACTCTTTTTCGAGAAATCCTTATATGATATTTCCATCATGATGAAAACTAAATGCTAAATCAGAAGTACAGGAATTTCAGCTTTATATATTGTTACTCTGATGACTGACTAAGGGTTTTCCGAAAAGCCCGATACATGGCGTTCTCCCACTCTTTCGATGGCTAACGCGGAAGAATTGTCAGTGGCAGCTATGAAATCGAAGGAGCCATGACCGTGTGCTTCTATGATTCATGACTAAGTTACGTTTGCGTGTTGAAATCATTTCCTATCCGGTGTGACTGTCTAACAATTGCTTCGCAATGTACTTGCCGGCCATTCCTGTTTTATACGACAGTTTTCGCTGGATAGATCATTTCTTTGGTTGCTTTCTTAGATAAGGACATAGATATTGTTAATCATGGCATACCTTTGGGATTTGCATGAATTTACATAAAATTACAAGTGCCTCTACTGCTGTGCACAGCTTACTTTCGAAATGTTCTTTTGCATGACAACTCTGTTCGATACTTTTGCATCCGAATGTGTGACATGGATAAAAGTTTTGAATACGAAGTTTCCTCTCAAAGTTATGCACGAAAGCTATTATTCTTTTAGGACAGATATTTTTCATGTGCTTTTGCATACTCAAACAAGGCAAGCAAATCAGCATTTAGTCCGAATTTGAAGCTATAGAGATAATAGCCTTGAAAAAGGTATGCAGTTTTCAATGGCCTTATTTTTCTTTTTTATACATACATGTAGTAGAAGCAACCAGTAGTTTCCAAGTTCCCTGATATTTATAACAAAATTCCCTAACAGGTGACCCTAGATAATAATTCTGTAAATATCTAGAAAGTTCCTGGATTGCTGATTCTATAATCAGTAAAATTAAAATTTTATCCCAAATCTTTTGCTAGAATCCTTTTAGTTTTTCGTTGTTTATTTCTCTAATTCTTTCCTGTTAAATTTAATAAAATTCAGATTAATAATAACCGAAAACTTTTCAGAGAAAGAGAATATTTAAACAAACAGTCTTTAGCACAATGGAATGAAGCACACTTTAGGGTAGTTTTTTATTCTTTTCTAAAGGTCGTAGAGACATTAGGTTAATTGGAAGCAGGAGAGATGAAAAATGAGCAACGCCCTCGACGGGAATCGAACCACGGACCTCTGGAATACGCGCCCAGCATGCTGACCACTACACTACGAGGGCATGCTAAGAAGGCGGGAGAAATACCTTATTAAGTATTTATGTGAATGTATGTTTTTTAGCTTGTATGCATTCATAGATTCTAATCATGCGTTGTTAAAATTTCACGACTCTGTAAGTATACGAACAAAACATTTCAGGTCCATTCTTCGAACAAGGATTTCACATATGGCAAGAACAACGCAGATTTGTCTTACAATCTATGAAGGACCTCGGGCTTGGCAAATCAAAAATTGAAGGACACATCCTAGTAAGTGATGCACATTGTCTTACGAAGCGATATTAAAATAAATTTCATCAATTAATCACTACAGTGCATTCGAGAAGGCTGTATACCTAAAATTATCCTATACTATTTTAAAATAACGAAAGAAAAGGAAATTACTCTATGATACAACAGACACAGGATTTAATTGTCCAAATGCAATCTTTTAAGTGTAATTTTTTGGTGACATCTCAAACATGCAGGCCTTTGGATAAATGAGCGGAAGTCCTTAAATACATCTCTCTTGAAATGTTGAAAAGAATGTTGTTTAAATCATAGAAGCTTAAAAATTTCTTTGCCTAGTGTAAGCGTACATAAATATTCTTTAGTTGATCCTTATGGTTAATTGTTGCGGTGTACTAATAATAAAATACAGAATAATTCAAATGAAGTTCTGGATCTCTCTTTCTTTAAGGGTCAAGCTGAAAGCTGCTCTATGGTGCTATAATGCTTGTTCATGAGGTGTATTTTTTGAAGTCCGCTTGAAGCAGTTGCTGACATGTATATTTGTAAATTTAAATCTAATTAGCTATCTGTTTAAACTTGCTTACACCATTGAATGCCATGTCTGTTTCATCTTCCTTTCCGTTTAGCTCGTGGTATCCAGTTTCATGGATATGCTGGCAGAAAGAGATCTGTCAAGAGCTCTGGGATCATCCAGAAGAATGTAACTTCTTAAACCGTATATCATCAGTCAACAGTGACTGATACATCTTGAACGAAACGTATACTGTCAGTTATCAATGACTTACTCTGTCCGAAAGGAAAGTATAATATCAGTCTCCGGTGACTGATATGCTGCTTAACGTATTAAGCTTTCTTTTATGACGAACTTTCGTCTTCGTAACCAGGCTAAAGTTAAGTAAACTTCAATAAAATAGAGTAGAAGTAAAACTTAACTAAAATATTTATTAGACTACTTTTTTTAGTTTTATAAAATTAAAATTAACTAACAACAGCCACTAACCAGTATTTGCGAACAGGTAAATCAACAATATAAGCTTAGCCTACTAATTTGGCTTCAGGTAACGGGATTCTGACCCTTAATAAATGCAAAAAGCACCCACAAATTTTTAAGTCGGACAAGGGTGGTTTTTCTTCTCGAATTAATAGCTTTGCCTCAATCCTCACAGCCCACCAGCGGCCGAGCGGTAAAGTCGCTGAACACTGGTAGTTCGGTCCGAGGTTCGAATCCCGCGAACGGGCTGGCTGCATGGGTGTTTTCGTGGTTTTCCCCATGTGTAACGTATACGAGCCAGTTTCCCTTAGAAAGTCCTCCACGAAGGCATCCCTCCCCTTAGGCAGATAGCCCTAGTGTGCTTTGCCATAATCAAATACACCAAACACCAATCCTCACATTAAAGTGCAATTTATCTCACTATTTAAATTTACTCTAAGCTGCATTCTGTTAAAAGCCGATGGAAGAAATATAAACTAAAGAAAAGAAATAACATGTTAGTTAAGATTTACCTCATGCATTCTATAGAGACATTCCTGTAGTTTAACTCCGTAGCATCTTGAATGTTTAATCATCTTAACGGTGAAGAATTATTTCGAAGGGAAAAAGATGACACATTGCAATTACGGGTATGTAATTTTCGTATTTACAAAATACATGCGAATAAATGTGAGATATACCAATATTATAGAGTAAAATGAGAAAAATTGTTTATGAACTTATGAAGATTCATTTAATTTATCTGACAGCTAATATTTATTTTAAAACAGCTTTTCCTTGATTCTCATTTTCACCCACGCTTTCTTGCCAGAATGTTAATAAGCTAGCACGTGTGTATTCAAATGAGGTAGAAAGAAGTAGTATTTAAGGGAAGGTTTTTGGAAGGTGACTTTTGCAGCGTGTTATGCCTGCTTGAAGGCCACGTTGCTATCCTGAATTACTAGCGATTAGAGTGCTGTGGCGTTGAGTGCTTCTAGCCATTCAGCTTGTTTACGCTGACTTTTACGAGTCAGAGCATTCCTGCGCGTTAAAATTATCCTCTGAGCCATCACGCTAAACTTACTACATGTAATTTTAAGTTCATAATTATCTGTTTGAGTTGAGCCAGAAGTGTTGTTTTTTGTGTTCGCCAAAGTGGGACCATCTGTAAACTTATTGAGTGAATAAAGGGCTTTTCACATCCTTCTTTGAACTCGTTATACTTAAGACTTGAAGATAATTCTTCACACAGTCTTATAAGTCTCGTTACTTTATCGAATTCAAGTCTACGAGACGTTATGAATGTTTTTGAACCAAAATTGAGGAAAAGTAAAAGTTTAAAAATAAGTTGTTTAATTCGCATGTCGCTCGCCATACGCTGTCGGAATCTCTTAATTTCCCTCCTACATTTGTTTACCGCCTATCTCTCCCTTGTACATAACTACTCACTCGCTTCTCATCAGTCTTATCACTCAGCCAGTTGAGTTATGTCATAGACTGCGGAAGAAGACATTGAAAATTTAATTTTATGATCGCAAATTTTTATCAATATGGGTATTACATTCACAGAGCAAAAGGGTCTGAGGATTTTGCTTAAGTGACACGTATGTCACTATCTGTAAATACATTATAATATTCGTTTATATTTTAAAAGAAGTTGTATGTCCTGCACTTTTATTGACGTGCTGTAAAAGTTAAATCTATGTAGCGAAAGACATGAGGATTTAAGAAGTGGAAATGCGAGAAACAACAGCCTGAAGAAAACGGACCCCCAAATGTTAGATGCACTTTGTTTTACTAAAATTAACTTCAAATTCAGATTTCACGCGAGATGGACAATGAAACTGAAACTTTTTGCGATTATATCCCTTTAAATTTTAAACCAGCTTCCGAATTTTTCCAATAGTAATAGAGTTAGTTGCCCATGGTTTTAAGTGTAAATATTTAATACAGCGCATAAATTGGGGATATGTAGTAGACAACAAATTGTTAGTGCTGTCGTGGCTGATATATCTGTTACCAAGAAAGTAGTTCTTTTTGATTTACTGAGGTTCTCATCATCCAAGCTTATGCTTCTATAGTTAACAAAACAGAAATCAAAGTAATTAATAAGGCATGAGGAAATTATCTGAAAGGGATGTACTTAGAATAAAATGTGATGTTGCATTGATCAAGGAGCCATCGAAGTGTTTAAAATATTAGGCTCTTGATTATTACTTAATTATGAAGGACTATCACTGAATCGAACTGTTCATATCACGAACGATATGCCTTAATTAGAATAACAGTACACCACAAAAGTAATGACAGAGTACTTTGAAAAACATGAAAATGAACCGACACCAGAAAACTGTATTAATAAAATAATACATCGCAGTCAGGGGTGAGCAAACAATTTTCACCACAGGCCAAAACGTTCCTGTTTCCCGCATCATGCGGACATGGTAGTCACAAGGTGCGATGTTGCTTGTTTGGCGATCTGTTGCGCTGTCCCTATTGTTCGCCAAGGCGCGACATAGGGAGAGACATACTTCTTCCCAGTTCGAAACGTTTTCATAAATTACAATTAAAATAATTACAATCACGATAAAAATGGTATCTGGTACTTTTCCGTTTTGCCGGCGCAAACGATAAAGTCGCCAATAATGGTTTAACTGATGCCAGACGGAATATCTTCGCTGGTAACCTTTTACGCCTCAGTTTCAAAACAAGTTGAAGCCATTTTCTTATCAGATTGTTTCTTTTTCAATACTGGCATACAATATATAAATTTTTACACGATATTTAAATTTTATCCCCTAAGACAATTCACGGTAAGTCAATTAGAACGCAATTACACCGCTCATCCGAAGGCGAAATCAAGTGTTAAATTCATCAATTCTAATGAGAATGCACTAGCGAAGTAAAGCACTGCGGTTTTACATAATTTCTGAGTAAGCTATTCGTACGAATTGAAATAATTCTTGCATTTAAACTTGTATTCCAAATTAAGATTTAACTTAAAATTAATGTAGATTATTACTGAGCGAATTAAATTTTAGTAGCGTAGTTTACGTGAGATGAGATCACTTGGGGTCACGTGATACGAACCGGCGAATCAGGATTTTGAACCATGAAATCATAGTAAATTCTTAAATTAATGTCTTTTTACAAATTTATTGTCTTTATTTATTGGCTTTTTACAAAATTTTAAACCATATTAAAATGTTTATGCCTTCACAATAAAAAAAAAATCTTAGAATTAAATATTTTTTATGTGTATACTGTATGTTGTCGCCAACAAAGTCTGCTTGGCGAGATTTGCGCCGGCGAAAAGTACCTGGGTATCTTTTCCTATTGATAGTCATATGATTGACATGTATACTGTTTAACTTTTCAATAAAAATTTCTGGGTGAAATATTCTTTCCCTACGCTCCCTTTTCTGATCAATATTTTTTATATTAGATTTATTTTTCTTATATTTTGGCCTTTTATGATCAATATTTTCGACTATTTTTGAATTTCAACAATATCCATATTTCATAGTTTAATTTCTAAATTAAAGATACCAGACATGATAGGATATTTTTTGCAGATGCATATGCTTTCTAGCATATCTTTGTTCTCACCTTAGGTTGATCGCTAGTATAGTCATGCGTATATACAAGCTGTATCAGTACTGCGGTGACAAACTTTCAGAAGAGATAGAGCACAGCTAGACTATAGGAAATCACGCAAGAATGCATGGTCGGAAATGCTTTCCCCGGGGCGGTAGTGACAACACAAAAGTCAAGAAAGAAAAGACACGAACGGGGTGAGGAAACATATTTATTATTCGGTGTACAGCAAAAACAAAGGAAAAAAAGAAATTTGAAAGCTTTCAAGATTTTACATTTCGCCCAAAGGGGCGTTTTTTTTTTTAACGTTTTGTGAGTTACCTTTATTTATTAAATATCATGTTCTTCGCACTTGAACCATAAAATTTAATTCAAGGGCAATATAGCAAAATAATTTTAACATGAGCATATCTTTTAGATTTTCCAATACACAGTTTCGCGCGCTGGAGAT